GTGAATGGATAAGTGGGTGAATGAATGAATGAGTGGGTGAATGAATGAATGGATGAGTGGGTGAATGGATAAGTGGGTGAATGAATGAATGAATGAGTGGGTGAATTAATGAACGGATGAGTGGGTGAATGGATGAATGAACTTCGTGCTACCCTGCAGAGGAAGGAGACTGCAAAGGCCAGTTTCCCACCCATCCTTCTCTCTTCCCTCAAGGAACCCCTCCCCTTTGGAGGTCTCAGAAGCCCCACTGACCTGCCCAGCCCTCTGGTCTTCTCCTCAGGAGACCTGAGGACAGTGGGTGAGCTGCTCAACTAGGAATCTCTCTGGGGCATTCTGAGCCAGGTGGTCCAGGGCCCCAAGGGGTTGGGGACTGGGGACTACCTCACCTTTCCAGGCTCAGGACGCTGCGGTACCCAACCGACGCCTCAAACACCGACAGCATGTACACCTCATCCACCATCACGTGCAGCTCGTGTCTGGGGGCAGAGCAGGGAAAGAGAGCTTGTTGTGGAGGCCAAGCATCCCCCAGGTGGGTGACAGTAAGGATGAATCCAGGGAACCAAGAACCAAGCATGGGATTAGCAAACTTTTTTCCAGGAGCACCTTTCTTTTGTTTACTTCCCCCTCCCCCAAGTAAACAGGCAGTGGATATACAAAGCAGAGGAGGGGGGGAGGGGGGGCAGGGGAGGGGGACCTTTGCAGAGCCCTGGGGTACGCCCACGGAAAGGCAATCATGTGCAGACAGACCTAGATTCAAGCCTCGCTCCCAGGTTCAGGAATGGGGACAATAACAGTATCTCCAGCTAACAGGGTTGTGGGCATGGGACAATCCCGGAGGATCTGGCCCTAGAGTGTGCCCTGGGGGTAGGGGGAGGGTGAAAGAGAGAATATAGCATCCCACAAACTGCCACCTCCCCACCCACTGCCAGGAGGGGCCCAAGCTCCCCGGCAGTAGCCCCTGTGGACTGAAGGGGGAAGAACACACACCAAAGCCCATGTCAGGACCCTGATTTGCACAGTGCTGTTGGGGTGCGTGTGGCGGGCGCCTCACCGCTTGGCAAATTCCAGAAACGCCTGCAGCTCTCCGGGGGAGTAGACGTCACCGAGAGGGTTATGCGGGTTGATGAGGATGAGGCCTTTCACCTTCACACCCTAAAACCAGCAGAGGAGCGGGAGACGCTCAGCTCCTCCCCAAAGCCACCCCGAGTGGTGGCTCCTGGGGACCATGATGGGACTGTGGCAGGGACCCAGCGTGAAGCAAACAGGGCAGAGCATTACACCTGCAGCATCGTGCCAACGACGGGAAAAGCAAAGCCCCAGCGAGTAGCAGCTGCCTGAGCTGGGAGCATCACGGGTGGGGGCTGAGTGTCGGGCTTGAGCGTTCACGCCCTAATGACCAAGGGGAAGAGATGAAGTGGTGGATTTGGGGAAAGCAGATGGGAAAGGTCCTGCTGGAATACTGCTGGTTTTAGCCTTTCCTCCAGGGGCTTCTGATCCCTTCAAAGTGAGGGAGGTGCCACCTCCCCAAATCACCAGGGAGACTTGAACGACAGACTGTTAAGCTCCACACCCGCCCCACTGAGTCAGAACCAGGCGAGAGGTCCTGGTGGCGATTTTAATCGAGCTTCCCAGTTAATTCTTTCAACGATGAAGTTTGAGAGTCTTCCAAGGTGCAGACACCTCAAGGGTCTTGTGTCCCCCACCCTGTCCCATGCCAGCACCTCATACACAGAGTGCCACCCCTATTCCCAGAGGGCATCAGCCACCCTGCTCAGACCCAGGCCTCCCAGCGCTGGGTGAGGTCTGAGCCCCAGACCTCGGCACGAGCTCCTTCCAGGGCCGTCTCCAGCTTCTCCACAGTGAGCTGAAAGGGGCGTTTGTCCATCCCAGTGACCTGGAAAAAATCCACCAATGCCACCTGCCAAATTCAGTGACCCAACCCCCACAATCTACACTCTGAGGGGCTCTCATTCTCCGATCATGTCCGGGCTCCTTCAAACAGTCTCCAGAAAAACACGCTGAGGTCACTGCTATCACCCTCACACCAGGGACTCCTCATCACTCTTAGGTTGGAGGAAGAATCTGGGGTGCCAGGACTTCTGCATTGGGTCTGCTCTGCCCTGTCCTCACCCCACCATAGGGTTGATCCTGGGGATCTGAGCCACGAACCCCAGGCACAGATGGCCACGAACAGCAAAAGGCTCTACTCCCCTTTCACCCGTACCTCCCCTCCCGGAGTCCTCAGTGTGGACGTCTGCCATGTCCACCCTCAAACTCAGACACAGGGAGCTCCTGTTCTACAACATGGACCAGGTCCTACCTGGGGTGCAGGGACACTCACCTCACTGTCCAGATAAACACAGACCAGCCGGACATTGCCATAAAGGTAGACGTGCTGTGTGATGGCTCCATAGTAAGGGGCAGGGATCAAGAAAGCCTCTGGGGACAGGAGGAAGGCGGGCCTGTCACCTCTGCCAGGTGCTCCAGACCCCTGGCCACTGGCACCGCACCTCTCCGAGCCCTCCACGTCCTAGGAAGCATTCAGGGATATGCTGCCTCTTCAACCCCAACCTTTCTTAAGTTCTTGCTTTCCTGGAACCACAGACATCAGCCCTTGTCCTCATAACTGGCAGCTGAGACTTACTGAGCACTTACTATGTGCTGGGAACTGTGCTAGACATCGACTTGCAGCTTATCTCTTTTGACAGTCACAAACACTCTGAAGCAGGTACTGTTACCCCCCAGCTTTACTGATGAGCTTAGAGAGTCACTCTGTAGGCCTGGACATGTGGAAGCCAGGACCTAGTAAGTCAAAGCTGCAGGATGATGATCTAGGCTCAACAAATTGGAAAACTTGATACACAGAATCACCAAGAGATGGAATCTGCTGCTTCTCCACCCCAGGGGGCCATCTGAACAAAAAAGCTGAGACCATTTGGTGGGAAGGGGAAGTCAGGCAGAAGGTTCTGGACAGGAGGGCTGAGGAGAAGCCTCCAGGGTCAAGAGTTAAAAGTGCCCTCCAATTCTTAAGAGGACACAGAGGTGTCCACTTCCCTCCCCAACCTCCCTTCAGCACACACACCCTGCTTGCTCTTGGCTCTGGAGGGGCAGCTTTGCCCAAGGGGATTGGATAAGAGGACAGAAAACAACTCAAGGGGCCAACCCACATCCTGGCTCTTTCAAGTCTTAGCTCTAAGAAACACCAACACCTGTGAGATAAGAACTTGCACTTGCAAGAAAAGGTCTTGTCAGCTACTGGGGCCACGTGAGAGCTGAGGAAGATGCAGAAAGGCCAGAAGTCAACACAGGATGGGGTAGGAGAACCGAACCTCCCAGTGAGCTCATGACAGTAGTCGGGTTCCTGATTGTTCTAGAATGGGTAGTCAATTGCCTACTTTATTTCTCTTCCTTTAATGGTTCAAATCCTGGTGACTGGCTGCCTCTGATTTTCACTAATTCCTTGACTCAGTGCCTTCTGTACACACCTGTGAAATGGGGGTGATCACAGAACCCGCCTCTTGGGGCACTGTGAGCATTTACGATAGAGGCTGCAAAGCCTGAATGCCTGGAGTGGAGTCAGTAGTCTAGAAACGCGACTCCTATTATCGTGACTAAGAAGCTAAGGCCAGTGGGCCTCCGTTCCTGGCCACCATCACCCCACCCCACGGGACCAGAGCCACAGCACTCTGGGTCTCACAGCAGCAGGCAGGCTGGCAGCTTCTTTGCGAAAAAGGCTTTTTCGGATACCATACGTCCAAAGAAGACAGAACTGCCCCCATGCAGGAGGGGGCAAACCACGTCAGGCCCAAGCCCACCTAGGCACGCTCCGTCTCGTCTGCCAGGGGTTCCTGGAAATGGATTTTGAGCCAGTTCTGACCAACAAGGCGTAGTCCCATCCCCCTGATGGAGGAAGTACTAGTAAGGAGGCATCCAAGACTGACTCACACAAGGAGTCTGGGGCAGAAGGGATTACAGCACAGCCATTGACACAGCCATAGGAATCAAGATCTTCAGGCGCCAATGTCTGGATTACAGACCCAAAAGTTGAAAGATAGAGATATGGAGATTGAGTCCATTGGGGGATCTCCCGTCCCTTTCAGATTCTATTCAAAGCCAACAAACCTAGGCTCACAGGGAGTGAGTCCCTCCCAGAGAGAAGCTGTCTATATGCAGTCTCTTGCCGATGCAGGTGCTTCTTCCCACCCACTCTCTCCGTCTGCAGGGCAGCAGCCTCCTGCCTGCCTGAGCTGTACCATGCCGGGACCTCTCTGCACTGACCTCCCTCAGGGGAGGCCGCTCTCCTAAGACCACCAGCCTGCAACCATGAAGGCCTCTCTCTGCAAGCTTGTCCCTTCCGGGGCATCACTCCCTGCCCACTTGTGCATAGGCAAGTGTCCAATACTCCTGTCCTTTTCCCTAATAAACCTGCTCTTTAAATATAACTGAGTTTCTGTCTCATGGAGAATCTCACCTGGGAACTCTCCTCGTGCAGCTGCAAGGGGAGCTCTGGTGAAACCTTTCCCATAGTGAAACCAAGTGTAACAGGGTGGTCCCTAGGAAAGGGGAAGTTCCAGGTTCTCTGCCCCACCCAGAAGGGCAGTGGAGCTGAGGAGAGAAGAGAAGGAATCTGAAGAAGGAAGCAGGATGGAGAGCCAGAGGGAGACCTAAGGAAGCCACATGGAGCAAGGAGCATGTGATGAAGAAACCGTGCTTGTTTCTTGGCCCTGGACTGGTTGAGACAGACGTGGGTGAGACCCGTGGGGAGGTGACTCTGGCAGTGTTTATCTTGATTTTGAGGTTGCTCTTTTCCTCCCAGACTCGTCTGGCCATTTCTGACCCTTTTCTATGAGTCCAGGCCAGAAGGTGCTTTAGGCTTATGGCGGGCTTTCGGGCCTTGCTTTGGGCCCATCCCTTTTGGGTTGACTTTTGTCCACGAGGGGATGGGTCACTTCAGGTGTTTGATTGAGAAATTATATTCTGTCTTCTGTATAAATTTATACTCATTGTATTCGAGTTCCTTCTCATTAAAGTCTTATATGTTTGTCTTGATGCAGCACATGGCAGAACCTATTTAGAGCGGGCAGCTTTGGGGGTTCAGTGGTGCCCCTCTCCCTGTCCCATAACACAAGACCACAGCCCTTTGTGAGCAAGCCGGGAAAGCCAAGGTCTCGGCACAGAGGCAACAACACCAGGCAGCGTGTTGCACGACCCTGGCACTGACCACCTCAGGGTGCTCATCAAGTCACTTACGTAAGCCCCTTGCACCCAGGGTGTGTGAGGGCTGCAAGCATGCGCAGGTGCTGGGGCAGGCGGGCACAGGGCTGCACTTACCCCCGACCTCACACAGCACAGTGGCCAGGGCTGAGAAGAGAGAGGCGCAGCCATTCAGGACCACCACCTGCGGGGCACATCCAGAAAAGAGGCCCCTCAGGAGGGGGCCAGGACCCCATCCTGGACGCAAAGGGGGAACCAGGTCCCTGGAGGCTCTGTCACAGCAAAGCCACTGAGGGTTTCTCCCGACCAACAGCTGAGCAAATTCGTGAGGCTTATTTGTGGGGACGCTGCTTAGGGGGTGGAGCTGACTGCTCAGACTCTAACAGAGACACAGAAAAGGGCCAGAGAACAGAGGATGCAGGAATCAGACCCACACTCTGAATATTTAGGCTGAGAAGGAAGGAGGGGAGCCGGATTCCTAACCCCACCTGGACATAAGTCAGTGGCACGTTTCAGTCACCTTGGCCTTGGCCATCCGCTCAGTGGGGGAGGGGCAGAAGAGCTGGAAGATCCAGGGAGGGGACTACTCACATTCTCCGGTTTCAGGGTTGCTGGGCTCTTGCAGTAGAAAGACAGGAACTTGGCCACTTCCTCCCGGAGGCTGGAGATAAGACAGTAGGCAGCAGTGGGCAGAGAGACAGAGGGTCGCACCCAAAGCTGCCCCTATCCTGCCTTGGTTTCCCCCAGGGGAGCATGGTTGGTCTCTACTCCCTGGCACCAACTTCTCCAACCCGCACCCCATCCAGCCCCACCACTCCCCCCACCCCACAACATGTTATTCCAGTAGTTCTACTAGAAAACCGACCCAAAACGCTAACATCAAGTATCTCAAAAACAACGCTATCTACTATTTATTGAGCATTTACATTTCACGGAGGTTCTTTGGAGCCTTTCACTCATTTAATTTTCGTGACAATCCTATGAAGCAATTATTACTCTGGCCAACATTATTTGCATTTCACAGACGAAGACAGTGAGGCTTGAAGGATTTAAGCCAGCTGCTGGGAAGCAGCGGGTCACACTCAAGCCCAGAGCTCCCAGTCCAGGGCCTGCCTCCCAGTCACTCTCAGCTCCTGTGCTATGGAGTCAAGTACTGCTAGGTCACGGAGCCCTGTCAGTCTCAGTGAGAGCACGCCCTCGTTAGTACCACCTCCCTCACCAGTGCTCCCCGGCCAGTGCTCCCAAAGCGGCTTCTGGTTCCTCCCAGACTGCTGAGCTTGAAGGCACTGTCCCTGCCTAAGCTTCAGGAGTGGGGAGAGGGTGTGGGGGAAGGCACCAGCTCCCTGCAGACCTCCAGAGGACCCCACAATCACAGGGGCTCCAAGACTAGCCCCTCAGCCTTCAAGAGTCAGGTCATTCTTTCTCTTGGGGGCTCGTCCTGGCCCCCGTAGGAGGGTAGCAGCATCCCCAGCCTCTGCCAATAAATGCCAGGAGCACCCCTTTCCAAAATGACAACCAAGAAGGTCCCTGGCAAGCAACACCACCCCGAGCGGAGCACCACTGTCCTATGCCCGCGACTCACAACAGGTGTCCCCTCCAGTCGGGGTACTGCAGCAGGGCCGGCTCCACCCGCAGCATGTCACTCTGGCTCAGCTGGGGACAGAAGGGGCAGGACAGGACTGAGGCTGCAGGTCTTGGAGGTGAGGCGGCCAGACCCACACAGCACGGGGCCTCCAAGCCCACGGGCATGGCCTTCGCATCACAGAAACCCGGAAAGGAATAGCACAGGCATGACACTCTCGTGCTTGCTTTTGCAGATGACAAAAGCGAGGGTCAGAAAAGTAAGGTGCTAACACAGGCACAGAGCTAGCACGTGGCTAGCAATTCCTCGTTGACTAGGAATGGTTGGTGCCTGGCCCAGCGCTGCTTACTCAATGCTGCCACCTCAACAGTCACCTTGGCTACTTCTAAACCACCGTGCCCTGATGGGGAGGGGAGTGAGCCCCAGGGCATCCACGCAGGACTCTCCCGCAGCCAAAGGAAGAAAGGGACCAGGCAGGAGGCTGGGGCTATACCAACTGCACAGTGAGGCCGTAGCCTCGGGGTTCCTGGGGCTCCTCTGAATGCAGACACCCAGATTCTAAGCACCAGATGAAGTATGTAAAATAGTTCAGTAATTGAGCTATAGTTCAGTATGTTTAAAAACTATGTTTTTCCAACATGGAAGCAGCCCAAATGCCCAAAAGTAGATGACTGGATAAAAAAGATGTGGTACATAAATACAATGGAATATTACTCAGCAACCAAAAAGAGAAACACATGTTTTTTGCAGCAACTTGGATGGAGCTGGAAAAGATCATGCTTAGTGAGATAAGCCAGCAAGAAAAAGAAAAACACCGGATGGTTTCGCTCATAGCAGGAGTATAATGGACCAGGCGACAAAATAATAAGAATAATGAACAGCCATAGACCAGAGACATTTTGTGGGGGTGGAGTGGGGAACGGGATCAAAACCAGGGGGAAGAGGGAGGGAAGTGCATGGGACTATGGTGATGGCACACGGGTGACTTGGTGATGGGAAACCCGCGGGGATTACAATTGAGATGGAAAAAAAAATGTACAAAATGATGTAAAAATAAACGGTTAAATTATAAAAAAAAAAAACCTATGTTTTTTCATTGACTAGCTAATGAAATGGTCATATTTTAGATATGAATGAACTAAACAAAACATATTACTAAAATGAATTTTAGTATGTTCACTTTACTTTTTATTTCACATTTTCTTTCCAAGGGATGTGTGGTCCTTCCAGGGAAAAGCTGGCTTTAGGTAGAAAAGGTCTTTTAAGCACATTCCCTAAATCCCTCTCCTTTGGGGCCTGGATATTCTGCAACTAGGTTCCTTTGCATTAGAGATCTGTAATTCCAAGCCTGACTCTGAGGTCCAAGGAAGAAATACACTAATCAGGTATTTCGAGTGGTTTGCTGGAAGATGGCTCACACAGTTCAAGAAATCTGATTATTACATTTCAGGAATTTTGTAAACTATGATTTAAAAAAGTTCCAAAAATCAAATTATAAAAGATACAAAATTATATACATTATATTAAAATCAAAGGCCATAAGTACTCAGCCATCTCATACATCTGGCAAAGCACTGTTCTACATCGTGCTCTTTCTTGAGGTTATTTCTGTCCACATGCCAGGCTGGGGGCACAGGACATGAGGTCTGCCTGTGTTGCCTGCCAGGATGTCACTTCAATAGCTTAGAATCAGCCAAGGTGCAATATTTATACCAGAGGAATTGGCACAAACTACAAATTAGGTTGTGTCTCCTCTCTGAAGAGCCAGCTAAGTGCTGACCACACACCACTGAGTCTTTCTCCTCTGAGAGCGCGGACCCAGAGGCAGGAGGCACTGTATAAGGGAAAAGCCTGAGAGATAAAGAAGCAGAGTAGGAAGTGACTGGCCCTAAAGCACCCAGAAAGCTATTCCCAAGACAGATAGGAATCCCGGGTCCCTGGACAGATACTGAGGCAAGCAGCAGCCTCTTGTGGGCAAAGTCCAGGAACATTCAGCACCTCGGAGCTGGCCACACCATCCAGGGGTGCACTGGGACTTACTCGCCTGGAGAGCAGGTCAAAGCAGAGTTTGTTCTCACTGGTGCCCAAGTTAATGATGCCCTGGAGAGAAGGGGTAGAGGCAGGGTGAGCGCAGCAGAGGGCAGCCAACGGCAGCAATCCCGGCACGCCAACCACCTCACCTTTGGGTCAGCATTGCCCTCCACGCAGCAACCTCATCCCATCTGCCTATTTCTAAAGCTCCGCTCCCATGCCAGCTTTCCGACCCCCAACGTACTGCTCTTAAGAACAGAGTCAGTGCCCATAACAATAGCAGGAAGCATCTATTGCATGCTCTGCGTGGAAGCACTGTGCTTCCAATTTACATGCCTGATCTCATTTAACTGTGACTATTCTATTGAGCAGATTACTGGCATCCCATTTTAGAAAGAGGCTGAGCTTCAAAAAGCTGGAATAAACAGGTTCACAAACCATATGTGACACAGTGGCAACCTGAACCTATTCTGTACCAACTCTGAAGCCTCATAGTTGACAGACTATCAGTCAGAATCACATAAGAGCATTCTGGGGTTCCTGAATCTCCCATCTCTCTCTCTCTTTCTCTCTCTCTCTCTCTCTCTCACACACACACACACCCCAGGTTCCCCTTAGTCTTCTCTGGGGGCTCAGTGGGGAGGGGGTTGCACTCACACTGGGATTCTTCTCCTCATCATACTCATCCATGTGGTATGTCCTGTAGCCCTCCTCAGCTGAGTCCCAGAACCACTTAATGACTCTTCCTCTGGAGGACAACTGGGAGCTCCCGGAGAAGAACATGGCACCGGGGTCACCCACGCCATAGCACTCTGGCAGCTTCTGCTCTGGTTTTCTGAGGCAATCTCTACCCAGACCATCCTTGTTACCATCCAGGTTCTGCACGGAGGCCGGGCTCAGGCAGGTGGGAGGTGCCCCCACTTCCTTCTGAGTGGGGGTGAACATCTGGGAAAAGACAAGCGCTCTCAATGCCTGAAGCGGGGCTTTGCAGACTACAAGCATCAGAATGCACTGGGGACCATGGGACCCCCCTTCTCCCTGCTCCTTCCTTTAAGTTGCGTATTCATGATTCCTCGGGTCCCTTGCTCCTTGTAACCATGTGTGCACCGGCTTCTCCCAGTAACTTCTGTTAAGGATTTATTCCCTGCCAGGGGCGGAACTTGCCACGTTCATATGACTTTAATATGTAGCTGCTTTAGCTTGTTTTACTTTCGTGAAAGTTTTTCATTCCCCGGCCTGTGGGTCCGCCAAAGTTCTTTTTCTATTCTTGTTGACCTCAATTTCAAAAATCCAGGTTCAAATTTTCTGACTTAAAACAAAAAGATCCTGGAGTCCCTG